TCAGCATTGGAAAGGTTTTCTTTCATTTGAATTCCATTTTGTTCATAACTTTAACATCTTTAAAGTTCCTTTCTTTTTTTTTCTTTTTTTGTAGTACTACACATTTCCCCCCTTGATTCTATGTTTCTTTGGTTGTTTCTTTTTTTAAAAAAAAGATCTTATTTATTTATTTAGAGAGAGAGTGTGAGTGGGGGGCGGGGCAGAAGGAGAGAGAGAGAATCTCAAGCAGACTGCCTGGCGAGCACAGGACCCCAGGTGGGGCTTGATCCCATGACTCTGAGATCGTGACCTGAGCTGAAATCCAGAATCAGATGTTAACTGACTGAGCCACCCAGACATACCTGGTTGTCTCAATGGGAATTAGTAGTGGGTCTCAGTTTGCCAGTTTTCTCCCTTCCAAGCAACTTTTACAGTTAACTTCCTCATCGTGGATTTGAATTATATTTTTGTATTTTAATCTCTTTTCAGTCTTTTGTTTTCTTACCATGCTACCTTTCGTCTCAGTATCAAGGCTTTTCATTGTCTTTTCCTCTTAATTTGGTTTTATTAAAGGTGCTTAAGAGTCTTATAAAAATATCTTCTGGTCCCTGTAAGAAATCATTTTCAGAGCTATGATCCTCTCTGAGTATTCAGACTGATATTCTCTTTAGCTCTTGCTTTAATATTCTTCACTATTTTACTTACCTCATTACCTAGGAGAAATCTATAAAAACTTGGTATTTTAAAATCAGAGGTTTGTATTCACAGCATACATAACAGAGTTGTTAAATGCTGCAACACTCAACATGCACTATCACCAGGGACCTTCCTGTTTTCTTCCTACTCTTTGATATTCTTTTCTTTTGAGGAGAAAATGCCCTCCAGTGTTCCCATTATAGTGTTCCTCTTCCCTGCCTCCTACACACACACAGCCCCAGCATGGTTTTCTACCCTTTTTGTCATCTGGAAGTTGCCAGATGAGACAGGTGAGGATGAAGCACAGAAATAATACTCTGGCTTCTTAAAAAATCAGTATTCCAGGGCGCCTGGGTGGCTCAGTTGGTTAAGCGACTGCCTTCGGCTCAGGTCATGATCCTGGAGTCCCGGGATCGAGTCCCTCATTGGGCTCCCTGCTCGGCGGGGAGTCTGCTTCTCCCTCTGACCCTCCCCCCTCTCATTCTCTCTCTCTCTCTCATTCTCTCTCTCAAATAAATAAATAAAATCTTTAAAAAAAAATAAAAAAAAATCAGTATTCCAAAGTAAGGGACTGGCTTTACTTTTTTTCTGAGTCTATGAAAAACACCATGGATGGTAGAGATCATTTTTCCCCCTTTTAACTTTTGTTGGGGGCACGAGGCTGCTACATTTCACGAAGTGGAATGTGTGTATTCCTTGCTGCTTTTCTTAATCCAGCTCCATCAATTTTATGATTTGTGGAAATTCCCTTTAAGTTGCTGCTCCTAGTGACTTCTCTTTCATTCTTAGTCTTTCATTTTTAGGGTTGTGTGTATTTTGACATTGTCAGTGTTCTCTGTTGAAATAACCCTATGTAAGGGTTGTGACTTGGAGACATTTTAATTCCATCTTTTAAAATTGCAATTTGGTCACTGAAGAAATTGATATAGAGGAGTAAGGAGAACCTAGGAAAACTGTCTTGAATGCTGATGTTCCTAAACTTTTTATAAGGTTGTGTAGATAGATAGGTCAGTAGCTATTTATGAAGCCTCTTATTATTGTATTTTAGCCAATCTATCATCTATACATTTATTTATTTGATATATTTTAGCTGTTTATATTAGTGTAGAAGGAACAGTGGGCCGGAGCAAGGCTAGCTGAGGTCCAGTCCAGGATCTTGTACTATTTACCTGTGTGTACTGGTTCACATTAATTTTAAAAGTGAAAGAAAAATTTAAAGTAAAATGAATCAAGTAACTATGTTATTTTGGACAAGCCAATAAACCTCTGCCCTAGTTTCTTTATTTATCAAATTAGGGGAAATTTTATTATATTTATAAATTACTTTATACATGTTTAATTTCATGGCACTGTAAAACCAAGTCAGTCTACTAATGATTGAGACTTGTACTGTAGTGAGTTCACAAAGAAGCTAGTGCAAAATTTCTAACCTAATCAACTTTGAATTCTTTCTACGTGCATTTTTAGTTTTGAATTTTAACAAACTCCAATTTATAAGTATTGGTGTTTCTATTCTATTTTTGGCAAAGGTACTTTCACTTACAGAAGATTTTGCAATCAGTAGCATTGATTGAAAATAGCGTGTTTGTGTTGCAGCATTTTTCTACCATAGGAGGCTGACACTATTGGATCTATTTTCATCCATATTTTAGTGAAAGTGCCCTACATTAGTTAAAATTTTCCAGACTTAAAAGAGAACAGAAGAACCAAAATCTTAGGACTGTGAGGTATATTCAGGGGCAAGGGGAAGTTCTGTAAAGTCTGAGACTATACTCCTATACTCTCCTTTGCTTGACCTTATTGTGAAGTGGGGTGAGGAGTACTCTGAGAATGACTCACGGGTCCTTCACCTCCGAGGGCATCTGGAACTCAGTCACTCTAAGACTTCACAGAGAAAAGTTATCAAATTCATATCCTTTGACTTTGAAGAAATAGTCTTTTTTGTAATTTGATTCAGGTCAGCATTTTGAACCGAGCCATTTCACATAGAGTATTTTACTTAAATCTCCTAATAGTCTCTGAAAAATAGGTTTTGCTATATTTACTTATAGATGAATAGATTCAGACTGAGGTAGACTATGCAAATTGCCCTACATCATATACCTAATTAGTGACAGAGCTAAGATTCCATCTATCATTTTTCTGACTCTAAGTTCATGCTTGTAAACATCATGCTGAGTCTATCAGTTAGGATTCAGTTCTTCTGCATGAAACAGTAACCTAACTACAATTGGATTACCAAATAGGGCACTAATTATTGCACATAACAAGCAGTACACTATTGATATGGAGATTCTTAAGAAAATCAAGACCCAAGCTCCTTGCAGCTTCCTTTTCTTCCATTGATAGTATTGGACTTTTATCCTCATTGTTGCAAGACAGCTACTCTACCTTCTGGCATCATATATGTTTTCCAAGCAGGAGGGAAAGGATGAGCAAAGGAAAAAAAAATCACCTGTTATCTAAATTTAATCTCTTTCTTAATCAGAAAAATAATAGCTTACCTGGAAGACTTTTATAATACACTTCCATTTGTATCTCATTGACTAAATCTACATTTATGGCTATTCGAGCTTCAAGGGAGTGTGAGGATTCATTTTTTTAAGTCAAATTTATTAAGACATAATTTACAAAGTACAATAAAATTCACACATTTTATGTACACAGAACCATGACCTTTGACAAATGCATACACCTGTGTAATCACAATCAAGATATAGAACACTTCCATTTTGAGGAGCAATGTTAACTGAGCATTTTGCTGTTTTGAACAAAACTGAGGTTTATTTCTGAAAGGAAAGAGCAGGCAATAGGCAGCACTGTCATCTTGAGGTTAAATTTTTTTACTGAGGTATAATTAGCATATAACATTGTATTAGTTTCAGGTATATGGCATAATGATTCAATGTTTGTATATATTGTGAAATGATCACCACAATAAGTCTAGTTTCTATGTCCTTAAATAATGGTTTGGAAAAGCAATACTGGAAATACCCTTAGGTGAGAGAAGACTTTATCTTTTTTTTTTTTTAAGATTTTATTTATTTATTTGACGGAGACATAGCGAGAGAGGGAACACAAGCAGAGGGAATGGGAGAGGGAGAAGCAGGCTTCCCGTGGAGCAGGGAGCCCGATGTGGGGCTCGGTCCCAGGACCCTGGGACCATGACCTGAGCCGAAGGCAGACGTTTAATGACTGAGACACCCAGGAGCCCCAAGACTTTAGTTATCTTTAACCTAGCTTAAAACAGGAAACTGTATAAATCTCCCAGATCTATTTATGTCTCAATTTTCTAATATTTTTGAAAAAAGATTTCAAAGAAGTCTTGAATGTGTGAAAAATTGTGGTTCAATGAGTGAGATAATTTATGTGAAAGCACATTGAGATCTGTAAAGCTCTATTCAAATATAAAGAATTGTCTTTTTTCCCCATGATTAGAGGTGTTTCCTTTTGAAAATGACAATGAACTTGACTTACTGGCCTGAAATATCACAGTTGTCAAATTCAAATATAATTGTAAAATATGCTAACTCTTTATCAATGGCTTATAAATCAAGGCAATATGCAGCTCTAGGTAGAGGAATTTTACATTTGCATTCTTACCAGTTCTCTTTCAAACTATATTTCTTTCAGTTGGGTGAAAATAGCACTAAATGTATAATTTCCTGAAACTATCAAATATATGTTCATTTATGACTACTAAATTCTCGTGTGATTTCCCAGTTATTACACAATATTTTGAGTGATAAATCTTGACAATCTTCTAATCAAACAGAAATATAGATTTTGAGAAATTACACTTTTTGTAAAATCAAATAATCTGAACTTTTGGAGTGTTTAGGAAGGTCATTTTTAAATTTGTCTCTTTTTTTTTAATTTTTTTTGTTATGTTAATCACCATACATTACTTCATTAGTTTTTGATGTAGTGTTCCATTGTTCTATTTTTTTAGAGGAAAACATTCTTGAAATTCACTTCTTAGGTGCAGAAAGTTAAAAATCAAAACCTATTATGAGATTTTGGGGACACTGTAGAACCGGAGCCCTTGATTGCTTGTTATACAGGATCTATGAAGAAATGTGATCTTTTGTAGTATTTATTACTCTCAGAGTTTTGACAGAACTCTACTCTGAATTCAAATATCTTGCCAAAATGTGGTTCTTGTAGACTTTAATCAGAACCAGTGTCAACCAATACTGGTTTTTATTAAAACTAAATGTATCTGGTAATCTGGGATACTCATTAACTCTGGCCATTTTTTTCATTAAAATTGTTTATTATTGTTTTAATGAAGGTCTTTGTTGTTTTGTTCACAAAATTCCTAGGTTGGATTCAATACTGGCTTTGTTGGTCCTTGGGGAGGCTGCCAAACTAAACATGGCCTGCTTGAAAGCTTTAATGGAACTAATGAGAGATTTTCTTGTAAGCATTATGTCTGTTCAAAACCAGGTAAGAGTATATTGTTAATTTAGGTGTTTTAAAAGAACTGAAGAGAAACAAATTTTATTTTTGCCACTATTTAAATTGTATATCATATTAGGGCTTATAATGAGCATAACCTTGTGACAAAAATTTTAATTAAATATAAAAGTAAATGCACATTTACCATATATCCCAGGATGGATAGATAGATGGATATAGAGAGAGATATCAAGATATGGAAATAGATTACACACACACACACACACACATACACACATCAGAGGGACTTTAAATTTTATTAACAAACTGAGGGGGGAGGAGCAAGGTGGCAGAGGAGTAGGAGACCTAAATTTCGTCTGCTCCCAGGAATTCAGCTAGATAGGGATCAAACCACTCTGAACACCTACAAACTCAATGGGAGATCGAAGAAAAGAATAGCAGCAACTCTTTGAACAGAAAAGCAACCACTTTCTGGAAGGTAGGATGTGCGGAGAAGTGAATCCGAGGCGATATTCGGGAGGATAGACGGCGGGGGAGGGGGCCTCCATCGGCCGCTTCTGGCAAGTGATAGAGCAGCGGAGCACAAAATCGGAACTTTTAGAAGTCAGCTCCACTGAGGGACGTCGCTCCAGTGGCTAAGCGGGGGGGTGGAACCCTCGCTGGGACAGTGTGGTCTCCGGACCCTTGGGGTCACAGGAAGACCGGGGGTGACTGAGTGCGGCAGAGCTCCCAGGTATCAGAGTGGAGAAGCCGGCTGCAGAGACGGAGCTGAGGCACGGGCTCTCAGCTCGGGGTTGCCATAAACTGTGATCCGCGCATGGCACAGTCGGGCCACTGCTCCTCCAGCAGGGACCCAACAAGCGGCAGATCCGGGGAGACTGCCCTTCCTCCCCCAGGAGGAGTGATGCAGGAGCGCACCACAGGGATCTGCTGGGTTTGGAGACTCCACACAGGGTCGTGAGCCAGAGACAGAAACAATCGGTCACAGGCTGGGTGAGCACAGACTGTGGCCAGAGACCGGGGAGATGGGAGTGATTGACTGCTTTTCTCTGGGAACTCACTGAGGAGCGGGGCCCCAAGTTCTCGGATCCTCTGGGTGGAGATTGTGAGGCTGCCATTTTCACTCTCTCCTCTAAAGCTGTACAGAAAGCTTGCAGGGAACAAAAGCTCCCGAGAGCAAACCCGAGCAGATTACTTAGCCCGGCCCCCAGCAAGGGTGGGGCAATTCCACCTCTGGCAAAGACATTTGGGAACCATGGCAACAGGCCCCTCCCCCAGAAGATCAGCAAGAACAGCCAGCCAAGACCAAGTTTACCGATCGATGAGAACTGCAGAATGCCAGAGCTAGCGGAATACAGCACATAGAATTCATGGCTTTTTCCCCATGATTCTTTAGTCTTTCAAAGTTAAATTTTTTTAATTTTCTTTCTTTTCTTTTTCTTTTTCCCTTTTTCAACCAATATCTTATCAATCCCTTTTTAAAAAAACCTTTTTTATTTTTCATTTCTAGAGTCGTATTCTATCCCTTCATAGTAGTTAACCTTACTATTGGTATAAGTTCTCTCTTTAAAATTTTGGGATACGGTTTCTTCTAACAGACCAAAATATACTCTAAATCTCTACTGTATGGCTTTGTTCTAGTCTCCTGCCTGATCACATTCTCTCCCTCTTTTTTGTTTTTTTTTTAAATCCTCTTCTTTTTTCAACCAACTTCTTATCAATTCCTTTTATAAAATCCTTTATAATTTTCATCTTTACAGTCATATTCCATCCCTTCATCGTATTTACCCTTATTTTTGTACATATATAAGCTTTTCTTTATTTAAAATTTTGGGAGGCACTTTCTTCTAACAGACCAAAATATGCCCCAAATCTAGTGTGTGGCACTGATCTATGCACCAGCCTGATCATATTTGATCATATTCTTGGTTTTTTTTTTTTATTTTTTATTTTTTATCTTTTTCTTTTTTCTTTCTTTCCCTTTCTTTCCCCCCCGTTTCAGGTCTCTTCTGATTTGTTTAGTGTATATTTTCCTGGGGTCCTTGTAACCCGGTTAGCATTTTGTTCTCTCATTCATCTTTGTCCTCTGGACAAAATGACAAGATGGAAAAAATCACCTCAAAAAGAAAGAACAAGAGGCAGTACAGACTGCCAGGGACCTAATCAATACGGACATTAGTAAGATGTCGGGACTAGAGTTCAGAATGATGATTTTAAAGATACTAGCTGGGCTTGAAAAAAGCATGGAAGACATTAGAGAAATGTCTCCTCTCTGGAGAAATAAAAAAACTAAAATCTAACCAAGTCAAAATCAAAAAGGCTATTAATGAGATGCAATAAAAAATGGAGGCTCTAACTGCTAGGATAAATGAGGCAGAAGAGAGAATCAGTGATATAGAAGACCAAATGATGGAAAATAAAGACGCTGAGAAAAAGAGAGCTAAACAACTACTGACTGGATCACGAGGGCAGAATTTGAGAGATAAGTAATACCATAAGACGAAACAGTTTAGAATAATTGGGATCCCAGAAGAAGAAGAAAGAGAGAGAGGGACAGAAGGTATATGGGAGCAAATTATAGCAGGGAACTTCCCTGATTTGGAGAAGGAAACAGGCATCAAAATCCAGGAGACACAGAGAACCCCCCACAAAATCAATAAAAATAGGTCAACACCCTGACATCTAATAGTAAAACTTATGAGTCTCAGAGTCAAAGAGAAAATCCTGAAAACAGCTTGGGACAAGAGATCTGTAACCTACAATGGTAGATACATTAGATTGGCAACAGACCTATCCACAGAGACCTGGCAGGCCAGAAAGGACTGG